AACACATTGAGAAAGTGTCGCATATGGAGGATGGCAAGGTAATCAGGCGGGTTTCTGATAAACAGCAGATTTTAACCAACAGGTTTTCTAGTGATCGGACAAGTGCTGCCTGTTGGCCAATCTGTAAATAAGTAAGCACATTGAGACGTGCCAATTTTAGCGATGATCGAGGGCTCCAAAAAGACGGATGAACTGACGTTGTCCGCTTGGCTGAACATGGACTTGTCGACTTGATTGGAGCTACGCCCTGTGATTGTGTGTGAGTTGAAACCAGTATACAAACGCCTATTGAAGCAAGATTGGTGATGGCCAAACATTTAGGGGTTGAAAACGGGGATAAAAGTGAAGTTAGAAGGGGACGAGGAAGAATAAGAAGACGGGAAGGTCTGAGCAGTAACATCTTCACTCCTGTTCAACCATCCTCGATGTAGCAGACTGGACGTCGTTAATTACCCTGTGCGACGGCCAGCGCATCAAGGAGTTGGGAAAAGCTTCATTGTATTGCATGGGCAGTATGCTGTCAGGTTGCCCAGGCCTAACAGGAGAACGTTTAGGGTTTTAAAACAAACCCTTTGGTACAAAAACCTTACCGCAAGGCAGCGAGGTTTTGGCACTAGGCTACAGAGAGTCCGTTTTATCGAGTAAGGAACCACCCTCACTCCAACCCCCAATTGGAGGGCCAGGAGACTGAGTTTGTCTGGCCTCTAACCATTGCCCATCTTGTATGAGTAGCTCAGAAGGTGCAAAAGCACCACCCAACATAGCCCAATGGATGACTAAGGCACACGAACAACCGCACCACGTTATGGTCCAGTTTCATCGCGATGGAGTTGGCCTCCCAGCTGGAGCTCCTCATTGGACCATTTTTCCAACTTTGGCGTTCATATCACCAACCAGTACTAGCAGTGGCATAGCATGGGGGGGGGCGGTCCGCCTCAAGCGGCATGTGACAGGGGCAGCTTTTTTATTACCGTCTCTTGTTCGATATCAAATATAAAGGCAATGACTACCAGGTAAGCTGAGGGTTGAATATTTTAATGTTGCCCTGTATGGCCAACAACATTTACGCCTTGTTACACCTGTGCAAATGTTCTTTCCAGCGATTTCCTTGCTTGTCCCATCGTGGTCACTTTCACCACATTCACCTCTGTGTCCCAAATGATGACACATTTCACGAAAAGCTAATGTGCAATTTACCATGAGCCGGTTGTATCGCGTTTACGCGCCTATTCTGCCCTCAGTAAGGACGAAAATTTTATCACCGCCCTGGGCGGCAAAAGTAGCTGCCACCTCACTGAGTACTAGGGAATCTGTACTTCTTTTGTTGGCAAAAGAAGTCATGTTTCACTGAATCAGCATTACTGTTCATAGGGTCGTAGGTAGAAATAACATACAGACACCTATAGTCCCTGGGTAGCTTCAAAGTTCCAAAAAAGCCAACCAATCTGACGGCGCACATCCGGCTGTGGATTGGACTTCAGTCGATCACAGACTGGCTTCGGCCAGGAGGATTCATATCATTACCCACACCGGCTTGAGTGGCATTTAAAAGTGCGTTGTCTCCTGGGAAACGCACTGGGAAGTGTTGTCATTGTCAGGCTAATGGTATCTTATATTTGGCAGACGAGTTTTCGACATGCAACTGGTATCGATGAATAGGATCTCTAGTGCTCTAGCAAGTGCTGCTTGTTCATGGATCTACAGCAAAATGTCATAGGTTTCAAGTGACCATCGTTGTCCAGCGTTTGTTTTAGAACGTGTTTCGACTCAGATCATGTCGCAGTCCACTGAAGATTTTATATACCCTTTGCAAATATTGTAACAGATGATCCTCTCATTTGGCGATCGAAGAACAGTTTCAGTCTGTTGTAGGTTGCTTTTGTACTTCCGGAATAGAATCACCTGCGCTGTTCTTGAATTGTGAATCACTGTTTCTGTCTTAGTTAAATGATGCTAAATCGCGCGCGTCATTTCCGAAAAATCGGTAAGCTTGTTGGTATTCCTTTTGGTACTGAGAACACTTTAATTAGATTTAGTATCAGGCATTAGCTGGTACCGTGTGTGAACCGATCAAGGAGCATCAGGCTCAAGAAACTAAGGATGAAGAAGCAGTGGGTGGCGACCGCAGTCTACGCACTGCTGATCCCATAAGCCAACATTCAACGACACAATCAGGGAAAGCACCGGCGCCACTACTTACACTTATGGAACGTCGTCCGGCTCCTTGAGCGTAGCGCTTTCAATCTTAGTTAACATCTTGCCTGTGTGGCATTTCGTGCTCATGTGGTGCGGGCCGAAACATAATCAATTTTGGGGTCACACCCTCGACGGTTTTCGCGCTCTTTCGTGATCTCGCCGTTTGTCGCTTCTGGCAGCAGTTACTGAGGTGACCACACCGGTAACCCATGAACAGGTAAACAAAACACCGATGCTGCATATGTCCGATAGGAGGGTTATGTTATGAATTTAAGCGTCTACAGATGAAACGGTGAAATGATAATACACTAAGTCCAAAGAAGCGACCATGTTAAATGTACCGACGGAGGTGGGAATCTGGGGATAGAATGCTAGCTTGCTATATGGTGCTATCTAGTTCCAGCAAAACTGGATCACATAAAATCCTGTCACCGTTTATGCAGCAAAACCTCGACATTTGTTGTTGAGGCTAACCAAAGCAGGAGAGCGTTCCGTGGTTGACAGACTCGAAGAAGTATTTAATTCCGTGGGCAATCTAGAATGCTGCATTGCCTACTCATTCTCATTTGGTAACCAGGGCGTCAGCAAGTAATAGTATATGTGATCGGGGTCACTCCGTATTTCGTACACCAACATGATATCACCGCGTAGCCGTTGATAACGTTCATTGAAAAATCACAGTGCCTTCGCATGTTGCATGCCCCCTTTTTGGAGCTGTAACAATGTTTTGGAAAGCTGAGTCCACGTTTCTGGGAGCTGGTCTGTAGGCTGTGTGTTCCAGTACTCCAACCAGGGATTCTCAATCTGGGAATAAAATGAAATGAATTTTACGGGGGTAAATATAGGTACGAGAAACAGCTCATCAGGCTGTCACCAAATAAAATTAACAGCAAATGGATCTGCATCAAAACAATTAACTAGCTACCTAATCACTATTGATGAGCCATCAGTGACTTATCATTGGTGAGTGGTCAGTGGGTTAGACAATTCTTGGTAATAAATTTTATTACCTACATTACAAATACAAGCCTGCAAAATAGCGCAACTGGACGGCGCCTCTGTAGGCTCGCTGGTTCTTCTTCCAGTCAGACAGTCGTTCGCCGGGTAGAATTACTGTTAACACTAAGGTGGGAGCATAGGTCAGCCGACCAGGTAAAGGAGCGACCGAATGTTTACAAGGTAGAAGGGACAAAACAGGCGATTGGTGTTCATGACCTATCGACACAGTGTGGTGGTGGGAATCTGTCATCCAGGACGGAGTTGGAGGAAATAATAAAAAATAGCACTGATTTCCCGTAATTTAAAGCAAAAAATGCGACAGGCAATCAGAATTTTAGACTAAAATATTTTGCGGGTAGTTATTTGTGATGACCCCGCTTTGTGAGTAACACCTTTAAAGGTTGAAAACTACTGCTCTAAGCGTAGACGTGTTGACTGTGCATCCGAAGATCTCGGCACTTTCCTGCGTTGAACGGCAAGGCGTTCAGAACTGACGAACTCGATGCCTCATGAGGGTCATCCTGGAGAATCTTTGTATTCCCGTCCCATGATCGTCCGCTATATCTTAACGCCATGTACAAAGAGTATAAAACCGGATACGATAACTTGCAAGGTGGTGTATGAAAACCAAGAATCGACGAAGCCCTAGCATCGGACTTTGCGGTGCGCCGCATTCGACTTCAATTTAGTAAGGACAAAGATCATCGGACTCATCTCTAAACAACACTTCCTTGGAAAACTACTTGTCCATCTCAATAGTAGGGAGAAAAGGAACTTAATCTAAACACTAGCCAAAAATTTCCCCATTCGCTTAATTTCCCTTTCCACTCACTCCTGCGATAGGCTTCATCATAAGGCATGTGTTTATTGGACTCCACGGTGCAGCCGCAACTCTCTTGCCCGGGCGAGAACTGGCTGGCTTGGGTTACGTAGAAGACTGCTCGGCTGTTGGACGATTGTGAGACTGCTCAGTCAACCGTAGATAGACTCATCGAAGTGGTCTCATTCTTCGACATGCAATTGTGTCTTTAAAGTGTAGCATTTTACCACAGTGTCACCAGCCGCTTTTTTATGTATTGATGCCTACCGACGAATAGATGGAGTTAGTCGATCACCCATTTTTAAAACGGCACTGGCAACAACGAACACATGACCACTGAAATTAATTCATGCACTTCAAAACTACGGCTGCCTTCGTGGATCCGCTACACTTCTGTTCCAACAACTGTGTCTGTGGACCACTACGATTATTGATCATATGCTCTCGAACGTCCCAAGATCTTTAGCGATGGTCGCTAGTATACATGCTATTCATCCTGTGCTGGATTCTTGATTTCACGGGATATGGCTCGCAGCCGACACTCGTGGCTTCTTTGGTCTAATCTGCTGGGTTGTCTATTTGTTTAAGCTGGTGCTGAGCCATCCACAATGAGCGATTCGTTATGGCTCGTGGTTGGGTGACAATGGAGCTGTCTCGTCTGTCACTTATTTTCACACAATCAGCAGCAGTTTCTGATGATAACGATATTGAGTGAGAGGATGACGGAGGAGAATCTACGGAAGTGCCGGAATCCGTCTAGGCACTATCGATAGGTTTTTGAAGCCACCAATCACAGTATACGGCAACCGTTATTGATAATAGCTTTTGTTTAAGCCTGCGAAAGCGGTTGAACTTACTCCATTGAATTTATTGAATATGTGCGGAATGGATCTTTCACTAATTTACCGTACACTTTTTTCCGAGCTTTTTGTTAGTAATCCTCTCCTTTCGCACACTCAATGTTATTCATTTGTGTCTGTTTTAGGTGCATCATTTGCATGTGTGATTATGAACAAGGCGATGAAGTACGCTACCTTCCATGCCTGCATACGTACCACCGTGTGTGTATCGATGATTGGTTGATGAGAGCTCTCACATGTCCTTCCTGCCTAGTTGAATTGAAGCCTTCGTCACCCCAAATTAGTCGCTCCACGGAAAGTACATGTGCGGATGAGCCCAGCGGGATCAATGAATTCACTAGGATATCTACCGAACCCCCATCGTACAGCTCCGCAGTTCTAGAGACTGGTAATAGAAATTTGCGAAAACGTGGTGACTCGGCGGATACGGCGGTTCGCGAAGGATCAAACGACACTGAAACTAATTCATCACCAAATCCAGCGTTGCCTTGTCATGTTTCCAAGCGTTCTAGCCCTCGTCGGAAATCTACCAGTAACAGCAATGTCAGTGGTGGAGACTGTTCCGACGTTATTCTCAATTTGAATGCCTATTCTACAATCCGCGGTCAGCATAGACGTACGCGATCCAACGGCCATGTCATCTCAAGGCCTGAATATACTGTACAGTCTGATTTGTCACGCCCGGTGCGGCATCGTCGAGGGAACAGCACGTCTGATATCACACCTCAACTTGTCGGACGATTGCTCTTTGTTCGACCACAGAGTCCCCATACAGTTGAACAAAACGTGTCATCCAGGACAGCCACACTACACTCTGCCACATCACGCCAAGTGGATGGTGACTCTCACTAAGTCGCTCGCTGGCTAGACTAAATGCTAGGTAGACGTTCTGCCTGTGGTATCATTTGTTTTCGTCCACATTGTACACGTGGCGGTTGTTCCGCTTTTGTCCCATTCGTATGCGCAGTATAGGTTGTTTACCTGTTTTCTTTTCACAATCATACTCTAATATTTCTTTGCTTTGCAAAAGAATTCATTTGCCCATTGTTTTGCACCGACACGCACCGACAACTACTTTGTCTGCGTACATCAGCGCACTCGAAAAGTTTGTTCTTTCGATTCATCACAATCTATCTGCTTATGAAGTAACCGACTGTCCTCCATTTTACCTAACCAAAAGTATCCGCCCTGTTCTAGGGTGCCTGTCACTTTCAACTCAACAGCCTCAAGACCTGCTTGTGCCACACTGCAGTGGTGCGTTTGGGTCTGCTCTGCTGTAGTGTACTGTAAAGATTTGTTTTTGTTCACTGTTGGTCGAATTATTGTTCGATGATTCACACTTTCATAACAACTGTCACTTATTACCCCGTTCATGCTGCTTATTTCCTCTCCATCTTGCCACCCCGCTACAACAGCGTATTGCTTTCAGTCAATGCATAACTCTCCTTAAGTGATGCTCTTTTTCTAGAAAACGGTTTTGTACTCCTTAAGCGTGCCGGACTCTCCCACTCTTCTGCTGTGTCAATACCCATATCTCCCCTTATTTACCTTTACAACCCGATGATTCCCTTCGCTGGAACGCTCCCTCCATCTTGAACGACCGCTGTGAACGCTTTTAAGCAAACCACTGTCGTACATATACCTACTCACCGGTTCATGTTCTACCGTTTGCTATTCTACAGTCACATGCTGTTCCTCACTCAAATCAGTGATTACAGACGACCAGTTATTTTTCGGTTGTTTGTGACAATGATTCTGCTTTTATTTCGTAGTGTTCTTGGAACATGACTTCCTCAGTTACTACTGTTGCATTTTTCGTTTGGTTCCGACGGTTTCTTTTTGGATAAATGCTTTCTTTTATTTGCATTCTTCACACCAAGGCGTACTCAACTAAGACAACTAGCATCGTCTCTAATTTAGGTTTTCCTGTGCCAAGTCGTTGAGGACGTCAAAGTCCAACAAAAGGCGCGCGAAGTAGCCAGTTCTCCATTTCTTCCAGCACCACGCTCTGGAATGCGAAGTACCCCGTTTGGCAACCAACCCACCTTGTTTCACAACGTCTTCTGTACGCTCTGAACGTCCATCGACGTTTAGCTTCCAATTGTTGATAGTGGCTGCTACGTTGCTCGCATACTTTACCACGTGGCCAGTTTTTGGATTTTGTCCCTTAGGACCCTAACCGTTCTGTGCCTGAGTTAACGTGCGCACGCCGTATGAGGTGCAGCATATCCTAGGCGCTCATATCATCTGGCTTAGATTCAATTTTTCCTCTATGTCGTCTTCTTTTATTTACAAATATCTTAGAGTATCTCCGTTCCACTTCTTGGTGTCTTCCCTCCCAACTTAGATGTTCTGTAAACGTACCAGAGTACGCTGGCATCCGAGCTGATTAGGCGCCCATTGAACGCAGTGAATGATCACTGGTCGAATACCCGCCAGACGTTATTAGAAGCAGACATGTCTTCATGTGGCAAATTAAATAGCCAGCCTGGACAATGGGTCTCCATACAGTCTCGGAACTTATGGATGCTCACCGACGTGTTCTAGCTGGAAGCGAATGCAAAGTTCTCAGGGCGAAACTGCGTGCTAGCCTGAAGAGAGACCGCGAGGCATGGTGGTTTCATCGTGCATCGGAAACGGAAACAGCTGCTGCCGTTGGTAATCATCGTTATTTCGTCTGATACGGGAAACGAGCAGCAGGGGACCTGGTTAGCAAGCCTATACGCAACGACAGTGGACAGACGATACGCAGCTTGTCAAAACGCTTGGAGCGTTGGACCAAACACTTCGGAATGCAGTTCCATCAGTCAGACTTACCAGCTTCTCTATCGATCATTGACCGCCCTTCTCCCTGAGCCGTCCCCTTGGGTCCACCCTCACGTGTAGAAGTCGAACGTGAGATCCGACAGTTGAAATTAATCTAGACCACTGGAGCAGATGGACTTCGCCCCGCCCTCTTAACATTCATGAGACCTGCTCTTACCGGTGATTTACATAAATTACTAGTGACTGTGGGAGCGGAAGACTGTCCCAAAAGATTGGAACCAAATTTCAAGGGGGCTCCCGTTCAAAATTAGGCAGTCATACAAGAAGCATTCTGATCTCACTTGCCTTTGTCGTCCTCCGTAGACTTACTGGCACTATTGAAAGCCAGATGCGCAATGAGCAAGCTGAGTTTCGTCAAAATCGAAGCTGCCTTGACCACATCTTCACATTACGTCAATTGTTGGAGCATCGCCATGTTTATGTGCGATCCACCGTGGTCGTCTTCCTAGACATCAAAGGTGGCTTTGATTCTGTGGATCGATGTGCCCTCTGGGACTGTCTGCTGAGGAAGTGTGTCCGATAAATACGTAAACATTACCAGAGCGCTGTACGCACATATTTCAAGCAGAGCGAAGGTTTATGGCAAACGGTCGCCGCCCTTTAATATCTCCAACGGTGTGAGACGAGGTTGCACGCTGTCATCTTTCCTCTTTAACTTCGGCATTGAGGAAGTCGTGGAAATGGCGTTCACTAGACACTAAGTAGAATGTGTGGAGCTGGTCCCGGGTGAATGACTGCTTGACTTGGAATATGCCGACACTGTCCTAATCTGTGACAGATCCCAAACTTGCCAAATTGTACTGGATAAATTAGCTCTGGCTGTCAGTTGTTTCTTGCTATGCTTTGCACCTTTGAAATGCAAAATCCTCTAAGATTGGTAGGAACCTATTTCTGCGCCTACCTTTGCTGATGATTAGCTAGAAATTCTGGTATCTGGGCCACAGTATTAGAACCCGTAGGATCGAAGATGAGATCACCAATCGTATACCGAAAGGTCTAGGTGATTTTCCCAATTTCCCCCACCCGTGGTGCCGGCGGCAGAGTTTACAATGCAGCCATCCGTACAACCCTTCTGTACCGGTGCGAGGCCTGACCTGCCAAGTCCGACATAATGGGGCTTGTTACGTTCGTTCGCCGCTGTCTTCGCACCTTACCACATGTCTGGTGGGAGCACCGCGTGAGCAATGAGCGTATTCGGCATAGTATATTTGGTGCAGCTTCGGTAATTTTGTTGCGTTTGTAGCATTTTAAGTAACTTGTGGACATTTCTTACTTATCACGGATTTGTTGCTGACCAACTTACTTCATATGGTAATTTAGCGAAGAGTTATGCCACCGTATCTGTATGCATTATTGGATTTATTTTCTTTCAGCTTGTCGTTTGTTTGATATCCCTGGTATGGTTGCGCTTGATGTGTATGTTGACAAGGTGCCTACCTGTCTATTACCCACTACATCGTTCATACTGGCTCCAGGAGACAGTTGGTCGTTGCTGGAGGGGACGGGGTGCACGGTTCTTGTGGCCGTGCTAGGCTCAAAGAGCGGTTCCATGCACTCAGTGTGGAGCGGACTACGGTCCAGCCACCGCCTTGTGTGCGGTTGATTCCCCAAATACAGCGTGCTTGTGTTTGCCTGTGAAGGAGTGTGGGCCGGCTCCGTTGATGAAACGTGGTTCCCATCCGCATGCCTCCCGACGCAAGAGCGAGTCTGCCGCTCGGCACCATTATTTCATGCACCAGGCTACGATGGCTGGGCCACGTGTTGCGCATGCCAGCACACCGACTCCGGCGACGTGCGTTGTTTGTGCGCCGCGGGTATTTATGGAAGTAGAGGTGGGGGCAAGCGATGAGTTGGTCAAGAGGAACGAAGACCCTTATGTGGATGTTGGCGTCGGTGTCTCCCGACTGCTGTGTTGGGTTCCGGAAGACCATGAACACGTTTGGTTGGACACACTTTTTGACATGGCGAAGTGCTTACGTCAATGGCATTAGCTTTGTGAATTTCTTCGTCCCTCTCCCCTTCAGCTTCCTTCTTCCAGCTACGATCTCCTACCCACTGCATTGTATTGTTTTTTAGTTTTTGTTGTCTGTAATGTTTTGTTATTCTATCTTTTTCGTATAGCGGCACACTATCTGAATTACGTTTCTCATCCTCGGCTAACGTGCATTGATGATGATGATTTCCTCCTAAGTTTGAATAATTTAGGCCCACCATTTTCTCTCGCTTCGTATTTCTGACAACTAAACTGTGTCAATTTCTTGGACAGGCAGTGTTTACCCACTTCGCCCATCTGCGCGCAGTAATTATGCACTCCCTCTATGCTCGTTACGCCTACCAAACCGAATGCAGTTGTTTTTTTGGATACTTGAACTAGTCGCCCACTTAAGTTGCTTGTAACCGCATTGAACTGCAGGGGTGTTAATTACAATTCCAACAGTCATTTGGATAAAAATATAGCGGATGTTTTTTCACTGAATCACATGCTGCTATAAAAATGGCTGGTTGATATTGCGCGTCGCAATCCAATCACACAACGTGTAGTCCAAAATTGACCCTCCAATTAGTCATTTACCGTTGTGCCAAGCGTTTCCCGCCGTGACCCGTTAGCCAAAGGGGTAAAGGTTTCGGCTACTATTCCAATGGTCGCGGGTTCGAGGCGTGCTATCTCCACCTGATGAGATGAAATGACATCGGAAAGCGTCGCGGTTGTGCAGTGTTTTCGGGCGGACAACACCCAATCTCCATAGCTGCTTATCATTTTGAACTCGCATTATTGCCATTTATGACCACTTGCCATGGACACTGACACCGTTATCCCACTAGCTGGATGTTTGTGACCGTGGGTGCAGGCACTTCGGTTCTGAATGCCTTGGTTTTGTGTTGGATCCCTCAACACTAGTTATTCTTCCTTGATGGTGTCATGATTGTACAGTAGCGAGTACGATTTATTGCCGCTGTATTTTATAGATAAATAACTCATCATTTTATACTTTGACGGTGTTGGGCACAATCCAACTGAGTGGACTGATATAACCGTTACTTCCAACCTCCCTATGTTTTTCTCTTTCGACTTCGTGTAGAATGATTGTTACTGTCCTTGTCATTAGCTGCTTTTGTGCGATGTTTTCTGACTTACTGCAAGACGCTCCGAGATCCGCTTGGGGATATCTTATGTCTAATTATTCAGTAGGCACCCAGCCCCTCATAGGGCTTCGAATTCACTCTCAAACCCATTAATGATGTTCTTCTACATCGTGCTTTATGATCTTGTCTTCGATGGCCATTCACTGAGAAACTCGAAGTGCGTAACTCTTCTTTTCCGAGATTCCTTCACACAATCGTTCACGACTGATGTTCTCTTGTGTATGCCTCACAATCTTTAATCAACTGCGGCTTGAATACTGAAGTGTAACGGGTCTATGTGTCACAGATCGCTCCGTCATGATGGCTTGATCACTAACATCCAGGTGGAAAAACTAGAACACAATGGGTGAATAAAAATTTGAGATGTTGATTTAATAAATTCTGGGATCTTTACATGGTGTTTGTGGGATCGGAACAGGAAACCGGAAGCATAGCTGCCACATTCTCATGGATTGCTGGGTGTTGGAAGCTGGGTGCAGCTGAACATGAAAAGTTTACAAATGTCATCTTTCCAAAGAAAAGCACTGACCTATCCTTTGACGAAATTGTCTCAGTCTTGTCACAAATTTTTGGTGAGCAGACATCCTTGTTCAACATCCGGTACAAGTATCTCACTATGATCGAGAAAGAAGAAGATTAGGTCACCTACTCGAGCCGTGTAAATCGCGAGTGTGAACGCTCACAATCTCATAAAATGATCGCCGACCAGTACAAGTGCCTCATTTACGTTTGTGGCCTACAAGCAGCCAAAGATGCAGATATACGAACAAGAATACTGATCAAGATTGAACAGAATCCTGACATAACGTTGCAGCAAGTGACCAGAGAATGACAAATCTGTAACATGATACATCAATGATTCAACAGTTGTCCAATACGAACGATCAT